AGGCATAGAGATGCATTTTTTCTTATGTTGTACGGTATCACGTCATTCATGAGTGTTTTTTACACACATTGATATGTGGGCATAGAGAGGTATTTCACACTTGCTATCTGGAAAGAAAATGAAACATATTATTTATTGTGGAAAGGATATTTGGAAAAATTACAGTTTTCAAACGTACTCGTATTTTGGCATTTTCGGTAAAAGATTGGGTTTTCACTAAGATACTTGAAAAGCATGACTATTTTCTTGAACGAGCTGAGCATTTTACTTCTGAGATACATCTTTTATTACTTGTATTATGTTGTTATGAACTGTTGTGGGATATTGGTATTGGACCCGACCTTGTGTTAGCTCGTCACTACTTTCAACCTAGGGTTAGGTTTGTTACTTATTGAGTATATGGGGTCGGTTGTACTCATACTACACTTCTGCACCTTGCGTGCAGATGTTGGCTGCTGATGTTGTTGTGTTCGATGGGAGTTGGATTGAAGATGTACCTGCGTCCGGTTGTAGCTGCCTCTTGTTCGTGGTAGCTTTAGATATGTAAAATTCTGTTTATGTACTTTTCAAACAGACTATGTATTTATTTCATTTTCGTTTTGTAAACTCTATTCTTAGAAGCTCATGATTTGTACTACCAGTTCTTGGGGAATGTATTAGATTCAGATACTTCTTTACTTAATTACTTTATTAATTATTATTTGAATTGGTTAGTGGTTAATTGGCTTACCTAGCGGGTTGGGTTAGGTGCCATTACGACTAGTCGGATTTTAGGTCGTGACACCGCCATTTCCTGAACTTTGTTTCCTAGTACTATTATTTGGGTAAATTGATTTTCAAAGTGAATTTACTGTGTTGAGTCATTACCGCCTGCCCTGCTGAGTTGTTAGTAATATGGTGATTTAAAAATAAAAGAATGAATATCATGCTACCTTGCGTGACTTCTAAATTAAAACTCGCCATATATTTCGGTATTTACTATTTCTAATAGTTGTAATATTTTATTTCAATTGATTTCTCAACTTAATCTTCTTAACCTGTCTGAGGTTTTTATCTTACTTCAAAAGGAATTGTTATTATGATTTAATTTAATAAATCATATATTAAATTCAATAGCTTGTTCAATATTGTATTTTATTTAAAAAATATTATTTTTCTTCACTCAAATAATTTCTAAAATAAAATCATCTTTCTCACGGATTTCCTACCTGGTCTAGAAACTGAAATTTTACCTTGTGATGTATAAATAAAATCTCTGGAACATCTTAATTAGCATTTGACACGGATATTATGTATCGAGTAGCACATGGGTTTTGCCGTGCAAAGTGAGATGAAAAGATGTGGGCACAAGGTGCCATGTGTGTTAGAGGTTTGGAAGTTGTGATTTATGATATGTGATTACGAGCATTGGAATTGTTGGAATTGTGTATTAAAAACGATTTGATTGGTTGAATTGACACCGTTTTCCCTACCTGAGTACATTTATACTTCATCCGTACCCCAACTATGTTATTTCTCGTTGCCATTCGTGTTCCCCTTATCGTTATTATTGATTGTAATTTGATTTCTTTCTGCTATTGGCATTACTCTAATATTCCTTCCTTGTTAGCTTTATGTCATATCATGCACAGGTTTATATTCTCGGTAGGTGTCTTGACCTGGCCTCGTCACTACTCTACCGAGGTTAGGCTTGATACTTATTGGGTACCACTGTGGTGTACTCATGCTACACTTCTGCACATCTTTTGTGCAGAACCAGGTACTTCGGATCGAGTTGGTTTTGAGACTTATGCTTGGTGTGATTGGAGACTTCAAGGTACACCTGTCGGGCGTTCGCAGGCTCCGAAGTCACCTTTTAATTGTATTTATTTCCATTGTTTCCTTTTGTTCCATAACAGTGATGTATTCATTATGTATAACTACTCCTAGAAAGGCTTATAACTTGTACTACCGGTTTTGGAATTATAAATTGTACAGAGATTTCTATTTTGAAATTGTTCGGTGTTAGTAAATATTGTCGTCATTTCTGTTAATGTTAGGCTTACCTAGTTTTAAAGACTAGGTGCCATCACGACTCCTTTGGAGGAATTTTGGGTCGTGACACAAATGGAGTACGTACACCAAATCAACGGTCACATCTCAAGTTTGGAAAATTCATGAATACGCGGTCTTCTTATCAAATATTTCACACGATTATACCGAGGCGAACGGCTCGATCCCATAAGAGTGGTATTATAGAAATGCCGAGGCGAATGGCCCGATCCCATAAGAATATGATACATGATATTGCCGAGGCGAATGGCGCGATCCCATAAGAATATGATACTGTCGAGGTGAACGGACCATTCCCATAAGAATATGATACTGCCGAGGTGAACGACCCGATCCCATAAGAATATGATACTGCCGAGGCGAACGTCCCGATCTCATAAGAGTGTGGTACATAGTCCTGCCGAGGCGAACGGTCCGATCCCATAAGAGTGTGGTACATAATCCTGCCGAGACGAACGGCTCGCCCGATTAATTAAATTATAACAATCCCCAACTCCATTTGAAAAGTCAACCCTCAGGCTCACGTGCCCGGATTCCAAAAATTTTCAAAGATAAACATTACCCATGAAATCATGAACTCAAATATATAATTTATTCCTAATTCCATTTCCAAAATTGGGATCAAAATCCAAAAATACCAATTTCTAGGTTTTTCTCTTAAAATCCCATAATTTCTATAAATTTTCATGTTTAAATCCGTATATAACTTATGTATTTAACTTGCAAGAAGTGAGAATCACTTACCTCATATTGCTCAATGAAAATCTCCTCAAAACAGTTCCCCAAGTTCGGCCAACCAAAGTGAAAAATGAAAGAAAAGAGCCAAATCCCGTCTTAAATCCAAATTTGCCTAGAAAATCCCGCTTCTGCGGTTCCATGGTCACTTCTGCGACAGCCGCTTTTGCAGCATAAAGCTCGCGCCTGTGAGAACCCAACCCAAGTCGCCGACGGCATCTGCGGTCCCCGTAGCGCTTCTGCGCTCACGCTTCTACGTCACCTCATCCGCAGGTGCGGTTCTGCTTTTGCGGCAACTTGACCGCATCTGCGGTCCCAGCCCTTTCCAACAAAATCCGCTTCTGCGCTTGACTAGCCGCTTCTGTGGTGTCGCATCTGCAATCCTTTTTCTGCAGGTGTGATTGCATTGGTACTCAGGCCCTTCAGGAATACAATAAGGTTTCAAAATGATCCGCGACTGTCTGAAACACACCGGGGCCCCGTCCGAACTTATCAACAAGTTCCATAACATAATGCGGACCTGCTCGAGGCCTCAAATCACATCGAACAACATCAAAACTATGAATCGATGATCGAAACCCTTCTTTAAACTTTCAAACTTTTAAACTTCGTCGAATGCGTCCAAATTATACTTAAGCATCTCGGAATGACTCCAAACTTTACGTGCAAGTCATAAATCACCATATGAACCTATTCCAAGGCTCAGAATCCCAAACAGATATCGATAACACCAAAGTTCACTTCAAGTCAAACTTATGAATTTCTAAAACTTTCAAAATGTCAACTTTTCACAATAAACGTTGAAATGCTCCTGGGCGACCCGATACTCAATCTGAATATATGCCCAAGTCCAAAATCATCATACGAACCTATTGGAACCTTCAAATCCCGATTCAGAGATTATTTACTCAAACGTCAAACCTTAGTCAACTCTTCCAACTTAAAGCTTCCGAATTAAAAATTTTCCATCCGAACTTCCCGAAATTCAATTCCGACCACACGTACAAGTCATAATACAAGAAGTGGAAATACTCAAGGTCTCAAATCGCCAAATGATGTACTAGAGCTCAAAACGGCCGGTCAGGTCGTTACACGTGCCTTAATGTGTTTTGTCGTTGTTGAGATGTCAACCTGATTTTCAAGATTTCTACCAAATAAAGTGAATCATTATCACAACTCACACACCTCACAATCACATGCTCTCTTAATTTAAGAAGAGTTTGATTATGCAATTGGAAAACTAATACTCCCCCGTCTCATATTATCAGCCGTGGTTACTAAAAATAATTGTCTCAAATTATTTGTCATTTTAGAAGTTCAAGACAAAATTGATTATCTTTTCTTTTTTATCCTTAGTACTGTAATAATTATCCTTGAAGACTACAAACACCTCTAAGTATGGATAACTTTATTCAAATACCAATAAAAAAAGATTAAATATTAAGACGTGAATAAGGGTAAAGTAATCAAAATCCCATCATAATTAATTTTTCTTAAGGGGCATGTACAAGAGAATCATATCAGATAATATGAGACGGAGGAAGTAGCTCGTTACTTATAATTTTTTCGTTTTAATTTATACGAGTTAGTTTGATTTGGCATGGAGTTTAAGGGAAAAAAAAGATTCTTAAAGCTTGTGATCTTAAGAACTTACAGGGTAAAACCTTTGTGAGATCAATTATATTTGTGTGAATATAAAACAACAACAACGACCCAGTGAAATCTCACTAGTGGGGTTTGGGGAGGGTAATGTGTACGCAGACCTTACCCCTACCCCTACCCGAGGGAGTAGAGAGTTTGTTTCCGAAGTGTGTGATTATAAAAGTTTTTCATTATAAACTAAATTTTTTTAAGTTAAATTATTTTTAAATATATAAATATATTATTTTTTAAAAACGAACTAATAATGAAAATATGTCAAATAAATGGAAGGGGAGGGATCTTTAATGCTTGCTATTTGTGAATTTTACATGTTAATCCACTATTAATGTAATTTAATGGATTATGACATACAGTTATCTATAGTGGACGATTAAGTAACTAAAATAATCTTTACAACGATGAGGCGACTTGAATGTTACGTGTGCCGCCACTAGTGGACAACTTTTTGACTAGAAAATGCACCGCTGATTTGACGACTAGCGAGTCCGTGAACTTTGTACGCAATTAGACGATGGAGTATTTAACTTTCTTCCATATACTCAATTAGAATTACCGAAATGTTAGGTATTTCTTTATCTTTAATTAGAGCTTTTGTGTTGGAGTCCTAAATATGGGTTCGAGCCCGAAATATAAAATTGCCTTGTTTTACGTTACACGAATCTGAATTTAGTCTGGTTACAATAATATCGGGTGTAAATCATAAAAAAAGACTTTCTTCTTCAGTATCATCAGAGGTTAAAAAAAAACTTTCTATATTTGTTTAGCTTCAGCATCATCAGAGGTTCAGACTGAGAGAAAAGGAGATGACTTTGGGACTGATAAATGCAAATCCAGTGGTTCACGCCAAAAAGGAGAGGATCGCTCGCCCTGAAGATCATCACGCCGTTGATGCTCTCGACATTTATGATATCCTTTTTTCCCGAGCTCGTGCCTGCAATTCCTAAACTACGTCGTTTTAGTTTGGAATTTTCTACTTGTACGAGAATAACATTAAAATAAATTTAAGTAGCTATTTCATTTAGTATGTTTATTTTAGTTTTTTATATGAAATTTAAATGATGAATTTTCATTGTTCAAATGTCTGAATTTAGTATGATCCTCTTGTAACTGCTAGTATTTCAAACTACGTCGTTTTTAGTTCGAAATTTTCTACAAAGAGTATAAGAAGAAAAGGAGAAATCAGGTATTTTGATGCAGTAAGCTGATTTAGGTTTCTGTTTTTTTTAATTATCTTAATTTGGATTTACGGATATTTTCGTGTGAGTTAATTGTTTATCAATTTACTGTGGTTGAATTTGAAGTGATCCTTGATTTTGAAAATTTTAATACATTTCGTGAGGGATATAAGAGATCCAGAGCATCCGTATTCGTTAGAGCAGCTGAGTGTGCTCTCCGAAGAGTCCATTACTGTTGACGAGAAGCTTGGACGCATTCTGTATGTTCAATACTGACTTATGACCTTATCTGCTTGTTTATTAATTATTATTATCCAAAAAAAACATATTGCTTGTGTATTCTTTTTGTTGATAAGTAAGCGCGGACATATAGTTTGATTTATCTATATATATGCATAAGGGAGGAAAATGGAAAATTTTATCTATATCGTGTTCAATTAGCTGATTGGTGACTCATGTAAAATTCGAGTTAGTCATATAATTTATCTTCGCTGGTTGGCGAATGGCGATTGAAATTTTAATCACTGTTGAAAATCCCGTGTATTTTTGGAGTCAGATTTTTGGGCTCATTGTTTAGAGGTGAACAATTAAGCCATATATTTGATGGGAGGTCGAGCTCTATTGAGTTAACATTTTCGGATGGAGTTTTACCTCCCTGATTTCACTCTAGCAGGTCTGCGATATGATTCCACGTATTCTGAGTTAAGCTTGGTTGCTCGATTCTAGTTCACTTTTCACTCTCTGGAATTATTTGACAACAGATTTACCAGAACGTACATACTTATGTGCAATGATTTCTAACATGCTTAATCATTCCTGTTAAAAGTTACCTGGCTCACTAACATGAGTAGCAAATATACTAGATACCTAAGCAATTTACTAGAATATGAATATGCTTTTATAAAGAGCAATGTTGTCAATCAAGAAGAAACAACAGAAAAGACCCCCCACAGTAGAGCCAAAACAGCTTTTAACTTTATAACTTGGACTCTCGCTTAAAAAGCTGTTTTTTCCTTTTTCAGCAAAATGTCCGTAATAGATAGACACAATGGAGTTGTCTGCACTGATTCTTTGCCATCTTTTACCTGTGAAAGCATCACTCTTTTCAATCCCATATATATTACTAAGAACCAGCTAATCTCCATGCATATTAAATGGATGCTATATACCATGTTTTGTAAAACCTTAAAAGAAAGCAATAAACTAGTAACAAATTATTCCTAACTTTCCTAACTCATGTTGGTTTTGCGTATTCTACTTTTTCTTATTGTTCATAGGATTACTTTCACCCCAACCATCCAGCATTGTAGCATGGCAACTGTGATTGGCCTTTGTTTGAGAGAGAAGTTGAAGAATTGCTTCCCTCCTCATTTCAAGGTGGTGTTCCTTAATCTGACTTTGATCGCAGTAAAGGTTCTGTTATATATTGGGCATTTACGGTAGTCTATTTGACTTGACTAGTCTGAGTAAAAATATCTAGTTTTGAGACTTCTCTGAAACATCTCGCATATGCTTAGCAAAGGACTGCTATTTTAACGAGTAAAGGAATGTATGGATTCGAACGAGCAGGGTAAAATGGTGTGTGCATAACTGCATATAACTGGGAAAGAGCATACTGGTATAATTCTATTTTCAAGGAGCATCCTGCAATAAATACTTGCAAGAATAACAAAAAAATCACTTTTACTCTCATCTAAATATTTCGAAGTCTCGCTTCTGTCATTAAGAATTTATATTATAATTTTCCTTATAAATCCTAAGACGTCCCACAAAACTTTAGTTGTATTGTCACAATTGTGAACTACTATGATTATGCTAACTTCCTTCTAGATCAATTAGCTGACCTGATAAGTTGTACCTGTACTTTATCATGGTTACCTTCTGAAAAGTCTAAACAGTTTCTTCTCCTTTCTAATTTGGTCATTCAACATGCTTCCTATTTGTTAGTTACTTATTAGTTTTTTTTCTGATAGTTAGTTGGTTATTAATTTTTTGTTCTAATTTCTAAACATTAGTTTATGTCTTAACAAAGTCTCACACTTTATCAGTTATCACTAGTTGTAGTTTCTTCATGCTTGAAATTATAACTAGATTGTCTGTACTTTAAGTGCTGATAGAGATTGAGTGGCATGATAAGAAGCCAGCACTTATTACAGGTTTGCCATCTGCTATATATATTTGCTATGCCGAGATTTCGAAGTTTGATGAGAGTGACTTAATATCTTCTGGTGTGGAACAGTGGAAATCGTGGAAGAGTTAAGTCTACACCAACATCTTTCGTTAAAGATTAAAAAATTATATTGATTGAAGAAGCTTATGGAGTGCTAGAAAAGTATATGGGATAGGTAGAGTAGAAATAGGAAAGGTTTTTAAAAAACGTAAGAGGAGAGATAGAGGAAAAGAGAGGAGCAAAGAGAGAGTAAAGGCTATCAATTCATAACATGTTCATTCCTCAGGTTTTTCCAAACCGAACGAAGTGCATGAGGACTAAGTTGCTCCTACATGGCAGTTTAGGTGTCGCACCCGTGTCGACACGACACTAGTATGGGTGTGGGTATGGGATCCATACCGGATCTGGTCAAACAATTTTGGGTACTTTGACCACGACGGATCGAAAAATTCGAGACGAGATACAATTTGATTACCGAAATCAGAACTAAAACTAGGGTAAATTTGAAGAATAACATATCTTATCTAGGAAATCAATCTTTTACTTATCTACAACTTGAGAATAAAAAGGAAATCCACACTTTACAAGCTATACGTAAGTATTCCACAAAATTTCTCATAAATTAGAGAGATTTATATATATTTTAATTATTTTTAGCCGGATCCCCGCACCCATATCCGTACTAGGATCTGTATCCCCGAATCTTAAAATTTACATCTTGAAAGATCCGACCTCTAGATCCGCACCCGTGTCGGACACCTGCACCCGTGTCCGAGCAACTTAGCATGAGGATATTACTTGAAGTATATAAGGGTCTTATTTATAGGATAAGGAGGATCTACAATTTAGAACTCTTATCGTCTCTAATGAAAAGATTAAACTATCTCTAACTAATGTATAAAAGATTAGCTTTAATTGAAGGATGATTGTAAATAAAATCAAAGATAACGACACAAAATATTGATAATGATATCTTTCATCTAAATCTTTCCCTAAAAAAATTCGACTCCAAATTCCAATAACTGGAAAGTTGGTGCAACCACGAAAGATACAGATTAATGAAGTGTCCCCGTTGATTATCATATGATGGTTGATCCTTCCACTTATTCACGTATATGTTCAAACTACCAATGTAGGAGGAAGAATATATCTGACAATCAATGGCAAGCATAATACTGAAATCTTCATTTTTGACCAGGGTTCTACAGAGAGGAAGATAAAGAGCTGAGATGATAATAAATTTGCTTAAATCTTAATCTAGTAAATCTTTTGAAGTATTCACTTTATATTTTCAGGTTAGCTGATGTGTTTAAGAGTTGATCATGATTAGGAAAAAGAACATGGACATTGACACCAAAGGATGATGTATGTCACGACCCGAAATTTTCACCTTCGGACCGTGATGGCGCCTAACATTTCACTTGCTAGGCAAGCCAACGTTAGAATAATATTAACAAATTTTTAAACAATCTTTAAATTATTAATAATCAAGGAAACAAAAGCGTAAGCAAAGTTTGAAATATAGTGAAATAATACATAAAAATAACGGTGTCTAAATACCATCCCAGAATTGGTGTCACAAGTGCACGAGCTTCTAGAATNTATTAATAATCAAGGAAACAAAAGCGTAAGCAAAGTTTGAAATATAGTGAAATAATACATAAAAATAACGGTGTCTAAATACCATCCCAGAATTGGTGTCACAA